TGAAAAATTTCTTTTTTTTTTAATTTTCTCTTAAAAAATGTAGGATGAAAATATTCACTTAAGGTTAGTACAATGAGTACTACATTATGCATTTTGAAGTACCTTTTTTTTCATATAATAGCTCGTCTTCGTCTAAAAAACTACATATTTTGATCAATAAATCATATATATAAGTTTGTCATAGATGTCATCGATTTACTGAGAGAAGTCGAAACTTCCCACATGAACAAGTAATTACAAGTATAGAAAAATCCATTATTGGAATGTATAAAACAAATAAATAAAGTCTTCTAATTAAATTCAAGAATAGTTGAATAAACAACTGCTAATTTATATTGTAAATTAATTTATTTTAACTATATATCAACACGTATATGAAAAAATATTTATATTAATCAATACATTGTTATACCAATATATTTTTTATAATTGCCTTTTTGTCCTTCATCAATCATTAAATTGTTTCATTATGATACAGTTATAATATCAAATTTATACTATACACCTCAGTTAACAACAATGATAGCTCTTCCCATTTTTTTGTAATCAAGGTCATATAATATATATATACTGATTCATATGTTTGTTATTGTTAGAATAAAAATCATATTCATTGATTTGAGAAGCTATTTAAGAAATGATTTGTATAATTGCTGTTGTTATTGTCGCTATGTTATCATGCCTAGTTTCGCGACATTGATTTTGTCACATATGGTCAATAACATTGATATTTACTTGTTTTTTTTTCTATTTCTACATACCAAAATCACAAACGATATTACCGATTGGTTTTTTTTTCTATTTTTCTTCTCCTATGTTTGATATTTTTATTTTTGGTTTCATTTCAGCTCACAACCTCCTAATAAAAACATATCGTGCAACAATAATACAACAAAAGAATCAGATCGTGATAAAATTAATAAAATACTTACCGAATTTGGTCTCGATCCCAGTGATTATATCTTTCAATCATCGCAAGATCTAATACCTGATCATCCTTCTGTTGCATCCAAATCTCAATCACCAACACAAACCTTAAATTTTCAACTACCAACATTAATTACATCAGGTCGATCATTTTCATACGTTCAACAACCTCCTCCTCCTCCACCACCAGTAATTAATCGTCAACAATTTAAACCACAATCGCCTAACGATATGAGTCAACAAGAATTTTCTTCACGACGAATGCCACCACCACCTCCTTCAGTTAACACCAATACAGATGATTCAAATTTAAATGCCGAATATTATTTAAACAAGATTAATTCACTTGATAATCCACCTGTTAAAGTAGTTAAACCAAATGCAGAAAATCTTGTCTATCGAAAGGAGATTCGTATTCGTTATTTACAACCTCCTACACCTCCACCACCAGCACCAATTATTATTCGAGAAAAACAATTACCACCAAAGCCGCCGGAATCGGTATGAACGAAAGAAATTCTTCATGTTTTATTTCATCTTTTTGTTACCTCTTCATAGCCACTTCTTATACGTGAAAGAAAACCAGAACCACCTACACCACCACCATTAACTATTCGTGAACGGCCACCAACTCCACCGGTACCAGTAGAGTAAATAATAAAATAATTTTTGTTTTTGTTTTTATTTGTCTTTTGTTTTTTTTATTTCATAAGACCTTATATCATCGATAAACCTTTACCACCACCTCCACCACAACCTCGTCCAATAATAATCGAACGTTTACCAACTCCTCCACCTAAACCTCGTACAGTCATATTTGAAAAATGGTTACCTTATAAAAAAGTCAAACGTCCTATTCTATTAGAAAAAGCTCCACAATTACCACCTACTAAACCAACACGTAATGTTATTATTGAATATGAACCATTAAAAGCTTATACAGTACGACGTGTAATTGAAGAAGGTATTTTTCGTGTTGATCCAAATCAATATTCAAAGTATTATGCACATGAAACAGATGGAAATGTACGTATTGTTGATCGTATTGATGATTTACCACCACCTAGTGAAGAATTAATGCGTGTAATAAAAAATTATAATCAACAGAATTCATCTGATTATAATACAGATTTATTATCAAATAGTGATCCATTAATGAATGTAACACATTCATCAAATATAACAGTTCCTCGACAAGAACGAGTTCGTACACCAGGTTATAATTCATCAAATCCTAGTCCAACTAATCTACAATCTCAATTTTCACAATTGAGAAATTTAAATCGTTCATCACAATATCGTACGCCTGATGACAGTCCATTAACATTAAAGCCTGAAGATGTTTATTAATGATTGACATTATCTTTTATTTTTAAGGACACGTACATGATGTTTTTTCTTTTCATCATTAGGTTAAATGTATACGGATTGACATTGAAACTTTTGTTTTACTAAAACGAAAAGTAATTTCTTTCGATGAATTAATGAATACTTTTCTTAATATATATTCTGAGAATTTCAAGTTTTTTCAGAATAAAATTTTAAAACAAAAAGTTTTCGATGAGAAAAATGTCATAGTGTTCCAAATAGATTAACTTTTTGTGATTTAATTCAA